TTTGAGTAGTTTGAAATTTGAGTAACATTACAGTCACATCTGTGTATGTAAACTTGATTTAACAATGTTTATTATAAAATACGTAACAGGTAATAAATGTAAAATTTATCAAACATATTCTATTACGAAATCAAATGGACACTAGTAAGAAATAGACACTTCAAGAAAATGAGTGTATTAAGTACCGATATCTGAACATCAACCATAGAAATTTATAAGTTTACATCCACTCAAAACACACACCAAATAAAATATATAACTTGCACAATCTAAAATAACTTAACTCAAACCTTTTCAAACTCAATTTGTTAAATCCCAAAAAAGCGCCACCAAAGAATATAACAGCTAAAAAACATGAATACAAGATGATAGGATTGTAAAGACGATTGAAACAATCCATTAGTGGGCTGTAGGCATTTAGCAAAAAAAAAAAAAGTAGCGGTTTTGCAAAGATGATAGAGCAGATGGAAGTTGAATAAAACATGATCACAAGATTACATCGTTGCCATAAGAACAAAACCAATTTAAGGTTTAGACTCTAAATAACGTTGCGAAATTTGTAACTTTTTCGTACGAGCTCCATTTTCGACGTTCATTATATCGTTGGTCTCCTATTGAAGAGTACTACAAATTTCATTTAGATTGTTTCAGCTAACAATCAACCGATTTTCATTACGATTTTTGTGTTGTACACTGCTGTACTGTTTGCAGTCGAAACTTCAAACAATCATAACTTCTTCATACGAAGTCAGATTTTGACGTTCTTTTATACCGGTGAGTATGTATTGACGATTACTTCGACTTTTGTTTAGATCATTTATCCTAATTGAGATTTTATTTTAATGTTTATTTTAGCCATATTTATTAAGTTTTAACATACGTTTTTACAAAAATATATTATATACACATAATATATATATGTCTATTTTCCACGGACAATATATAAACACATATGTTCGAATAGTTCTTTTTTATTTATTCATAAATGATTACAATCATCGATTGACCTAGATACATATTTTTATAATTAATGCCTACCATGAAACGACAATGTTACAACTTTGATCATTCTCCAACATTAATTTTCAATTTCCAACTCCAATAAGCTCCTATAATGCATACAAGCTGCTTCCAAAAGCTTCTAGACTGTTGTTCCCTTAAAAATAAATGAAAACGAAATAAAAATATAAGCAGTACGAGAATTTTGGTGAAAAACATGAGCTGATCATTATTTATAGTAATACGTACAAATATAAAAGCATAAAATATGGAACAAAACAGTAACAAAAACTAATATAAAAGATGCATAAAATGACATCTAACGAATCTCCCAAAGCTTAAACCTTAGGGAAAATGACTTGATAGGGTAAGATATTTTTTGAAATGTACACATTTAATCCTTATTCTTTTTTTTTCTGGTAAAATAAACCCTTATACTTTATTTTTTGTAACAATGCAATCCTTGTGACCGGCTATACCCGGTATACCGGACATATACAAAATTTCTTTTAGGGAAAATGATTTGATAGGGTAAGATACTTTTTGAATTGTATACATTTAGTCCATTTTTTTTTGTAAAATAAACCGTTATACTTTATTAATATGTACACATTATGTCATTTTCACCGGATTATACAAGTTTTGCTGATGTGGAAGCACAAGTGACACTAAATAGCAATTAATTAGCTTAGTCATTGGAGGTGGGTGACCTTCCAGCAACAAGAAAAGGGTGGCGACCCTTCTCTTTCTCGTCTCTTTTCCTTCCGGCCGAACAACAACAACCAAACACCCTTTACCTGTTGTGTTTCTCCGATCTGTCTCTCTTTGCCTCCATCTTTGAGATATGTTGCCAGAAAAAGAAGAATGAATCGACGAGGGGGCTACCAGAGCAGCTCCTCACCACCAATCACCATCTCTACTTCCTCCTGCCTCCTCCTTCGACTTTGTTGTTTTTGCCATCATTCCTCCTTGCTACCAGTGATGTGTAGGAACACACAAAGGAGTCGCCGGAGATCGGGGTTCTCCCTCTTTTTCATGATGAATAAAAGTTATAAAAATCTCGTTGTGGATATGTGGATGCCACCTGGGTATTTCATTTCAACAAAATAAAAGAAATGGAAAATGACTTGATACGATAAGATACTTTTTGAAATGTACACATTTAGTCCTTATTTTTTTTTTTTGTAAAATAAACCCTCCACGTCAGCAAAAC